GAGTCTTCTCCAGCTCCACAATTCATGGGCATCAATTCTTTGGTGCTCAGCCTACTTTACAGTCCAACTCTCACATCCATAAATGACTACTGGAAAACCTCAGCTTTGACTAGATGGATGTTTGGTGACAAAAAGATGTCTCTGCTTTTTAATATGGTGTCTACGTTTGTCATAGCTTTTCTTTCAAGGAGCAAGCGTCTTTTAATTTCATGGCTGCAGACACCATCTGCAGTGATTTAGGGGCTCAAGAAAATAAAATCTGTTACTGCTTCTACTTTTCCCCCTTCTATTTTGCAATGAGGTGAAGGAACCAGAGGCCATAACCTTAGCTTTCTGAATGATAAGTTTTAAGCCAGCTTTTTCACTCCCCTCTTTCACTTTCATCAAAAGGCTCTTTAGTTCCTCTTCACTTTCTGCCATTAGAGTGGTATAATTTGAATATCTGAGGTTATTGATATTTCTCCTGACAAACTTGATTCCAGTTTGTGATTCATCCAACCTGGCCTTCTCAAGATGTACTCTGCATATAAGTTAAATAAGCAGGGTGACAATATACAGCCTTGGTGTATATTACTAGAAGGTTATGAGACAGATTACTAGTAAGGAGATTAAATCAGTAATCAAAAATTATACAACAAATAAAAGCATAGGACTAGAGGACTTCACTACTGAACTCTATCAAATATGTAAAGTATTAATACCAAGAATTCTCAAACTCTTCCAAGAAACAGAAAGAGAAGAAATGCTTCCAAACTCATTTCACAAGGACAGAATTATTCTGATACCAAAACCAGATGAGGACGCCACAAGGAAGAATTTCTGCACTTCTGAAAACACCATTAAAAAGACAAGCCACAGAGTAGGAAAACATCTGCAAATCACATATTTGGTACATGACATGTACATACATACATACATGATTTGATACAAGAATCCTCAACACATAATAAGAAAATAATCCAATTTTAACAAGTTCAGGGGATTCCTTGGCAATCCAGTGGTCAGGATGAAACACTTCCACTGCAGGGGGTGTAGCCTCAAACCCCTAGTTGGGGAACTAAGATCCTGCACTCCGTTCAGCATGGCCAAAAAAAACAATAATAAAAAATAAAATGTTCAAAAGATTTGAACAGACTCTCCGAACAAGATATATGGATGGCAAATAAGCCCATCAAAAGATGCTTGATGTCATGAATTATCTGGGAGATATAAATTAAAGCTACAATGAGGGACCACTAGATACATTTCAGGGTGACTAAAATTAGGACAACCACACCAAGTGTTGGTGAGGATGTAGAGCAAGTAAATCTCTCATACACTGTTGGTGGTACAATCAGTTTGGAAAACAGTCTGGCATTCTTCTTTGAGAGATAAACATATACCTACCATGTGACATTTACATTATATTAAAGAAATTTATCCATGAGAAATGAAAGCATATGTCCATACAAAGGCTTGTACACTAATGTTCACAGTAGCTTAACTTTTAAAAAATTATGTGTTTGACCATATTGAGTCTTAGTTGTGGCATGCAGGATCTTTGTTGCATCATTTGGGATGTTTCGTTGAGGTGCACAGACTGTCTAATTGTGACTTGTGGGTTCCAGAGCACTCAGGTTCAGTACTTGTGGTGTGGGGGTGAGAGGGTAAGAGGCAGGAAGGCTAGGGGTCTCCAAATGGAAGAAATAGGCTGCAAGTGTCAGACATTTTTTTTTGTCTCTCTCTTAAGCAGCAGGAGGAAACAAACTGTAAGTGTTAGTGTTTTTATCCCCTTCTCTGGTAGTGGTGATGGTTTAGTCACTAAGTCGAGTCCAACTCTTGCAACCAGGACTGTAGCCTGCCAGGCTCTTCTGTCCATAGGATTCTCCAGGCAAGACTACTGGAGTGGGTTGCCATTTCCTTCTCCAGGGGATCTTCCCAACCCAGGAATCGAACTTCCGTCTCCTGCATTGCAGGCAGATGATTTACCAACTGAGCTTAGAGGTAAGCCCTCCCCTTCTCTATATAAATTCAAAAAGAGGTTTCTTTTAAGATCTGTGTTGCCATGATGACACCTGATTCCACCTGAACTTAACTTTTCTCAAACCTTGAGCTAACCAATGCATGTTTCTTATGGAAATGTCTGTCTTAAGCTATGTTAATGAACTATGTATTTACCCTAGACTCTGTCTTCAAGTCAGTTCCGCCTAAGATTCAAAACAGACTTTGACAAACCAGTATGTTTTACTCACGCAAATGTTCTCTTAAGCTATATTAATGAGACTGTATTTGCTTGGAAACCTGCCTTTCTTCAAAATTCACCTCAATCATTTTATGGCCTGGGACATCTGCCCTTGTGCCAATGTTATCTCAAAATGCCAAGTTGTGGGTGAGGGGCCTGGTACGAGTCTCTGAGTTTTGAGTCATTTCCTTTCTCTGATTAGCAGACTGCTAGTAGCTATATAACATCCAGCTAAAGACTAGCAGGGAGGCAGTCTTTCTGCCTCCTTCTGATGTCTATGTCAGAAGTTTTCTCTATCTTTTCTATACTTTAATAAAACTTTATTACACAAAAGCTCTGAGTGATCAAGCCTCGTCACTGGCCCCAGATTGAATTCCTCTCCTCCATAGGCCAAGAATCCCATCATCTTTCACACTCAGCAACAACCTTTCAGGGGCTTAGATGCTATGCAGCATGTGGGATCTTAGTTCTCCGACCAGGGATCAAACCTGAGTCCCCTGCATTGCAAGGGGTTCTTAACCTCTGGACCACTGGAGAAGTCCCCATAGTAGCTTCATTTGTAATAAGCTACTACTGTAATAAGCTACGGAAACTGCTAACAACTCAAATATCCATCAAATTCAGGTGAGTAGATAAACAAACTGGTATAGATCCACACAATGGCATACTAAGTGGGAAATCAATGGATACATACAACAGTATAAATGACTCTTTAATTATGCTGGATGAAAGAAACCAGACAAAGTAGATACTGTATGATTCCAATTAACATAAAATTATAGGATGTATGTGTATGTGCTTACTCGCTCAGTAATGTCCAGCTCTTTGCGACCCCATGGACTGTAGCCTGCCACGACCTCTGTCCATGGGGATTCTCCAGGCAAGAATACTGGAGTGGGTTGCCATCCTCCTCCAGGGGATCTTTCCAACCCAGGGATCAAACCCAGATATTCCACATTGCAGGCAGATTCTTTACCATCTGAGCCACTAGGAAAACCCAAGGATACTGGAGTGGGGACTCTATCCTTTCTCCAGAGGATCATCCTGACCCAGGAATCCACCAGGAATTGAACTGGGGTTGTCACGTGAGTGTATGCTCCTAGGTTCTCTGTCTCGTCACAACAAAAATTTGGAGTGACGGACATTGAAGCCCCCTAGGCGGGTCACAGCTCTTGGAGGACAGACCATGTTATAGCTCTTAAATAAATCAGTGTTACAGCTCAGTGTTACAGCTCTATTTATTTAGATAATAGCAGGAAAACCCATCTTCAAGGCATGAGGGCATGTTGATCCAAAGACACGAAGAGAAGATCGCCCCATCGCGCGGGAGAGAGAGGGCCAGGGCCGAGGGGCGAGGGGCGAGGGCGAGGGAGAGGGCTCCTCTTTTTATGTTTTTTGCTCCCCCTGGGCCTGTGCTATGCAAATTGGGCTTAGGCAGGAGCACTGTTTGTTTTACCTGAGGTTCTCACTCCGGTCCTCGGACCTTCCTTTGTTCTATTTTTGCGGGCTTTTCCCTTCCAGGTCTTTTAGCCACTGCCATTTTGGACTCCTTTTCCCTATTCTAACTACCTAACATTGTCTTCTGCATTGCAGGCAGATTCTTGTAAGCCCAAACTATAGGAAAGGCAAACTAACCTCCAGTAACAGAAAACAGATCAGTGGTGGCCTGGGAGTGGGGAGGGCAGGAAAGACGAATCACAAAGGGGCAAGAGGTATTTGGGAGGTGGGGAGTGTGATTGATATGTTCATTACCTTGACTGAAGCAATGATTTCATGTGTGTGTACATGTGCCAGAATTTAACCAAATGATACAGCTTAAATATGTGTAGTTTATTGTATGTTAATTCCACCTCAAGAAAGCTGTTAAGATGAAGCACATATTTATAAAACATGCATTGGGTGTAACATATAATGAAACAAAACACTCCCTGTGTCCATTACATTACATGGTTTTAAAAAGTAAACATTACAATTATGTTTGGGCATTTCTATGTTTCCTGAACACCCTAAGGCCCAGGCTTTCTTGTTAAAAACAGATGGATGTCTGAAAATATTTTCTTAACACTTTAGGTTCCTAAAAGTGAATATTCTGGGGACTATTTTTATGTAAGTTAATTCAGTAATGTAGTAGCTTGGCACAGTCTGAAGGTGAAACTTGCCCTTTAAAAGATGGGCGGCCCAAAAACGGTGGCTTAAAAATAATCCCACTGTGCAGTTATGAACATCTTAGAACCTCTGCCTAGAATGCAAAAGGGAAAACTCTTGCTGTGACCAGACAGGCATGTGCTTTCACTTCTTTTTTTTAAAAAATGAGGCAGAGGTGGGCAGGATGGAACAGAAGCAGGATGGGGCACAAACTAATAAATTGGGTTTAGCAACAGCCTTCTGGTGTGTTTTAACCAGGCTCCACCCACAGCTTCTATTTTCTTAGGAGACTGGAAAACAGACAAGCTGTGAATACACTCTGCATTTAAAACTGCAGCAGTAGTCTCCAAGCAGGAATAGGGGGTTGTAATCAGCTTTCCTTCTAAGGGAAAGCTGGGAACCTTCTCATTTCACTTCATGAAAAATAAGTGATGAGGCAATTTCTGCCAAACATCTATTAATTGGATAAAACAGGTCTCTTGCCCGATATCTGACTTCAGCTGTTTATTTCCAGCACAGCCAGTTCTTCTCTACTCTGCAGCTGATTGGCTCTGGAGTGTGGCCAGAAACCTACTTCCCGCAGTTAAAGGAGTCAGATCTCTAACTGTTGATCTGTTTTCTTCTCTTCTGAGTGATGGCGCTCACCATTTTAATCCTCCGGCTGGCCGTCTGCATCCTGGCATTTCCCATGTACCTGCTGGACTTTCTGGGCTTGTGGAACTGGATATGCAAACAGTGGTTCCCCTACTTCCTGGCGAGGTTCACTGTGATGTACAACAAACAGATGGCAAGCAAGAAGCGGGAGCTCTTCAGCAACCTGCAGGAGTTCACGGGCCCCTCTGGGAAGCTCTCCCTGCTGGAGCTGGGCTGCGGCACCGGGCCCAACTTCAAGTTCTACCCCTCTGGATGCCAGGTGACCTGTGTTGATCCCAACCCCAACTTTGAGAAGTTCTTGATCAAGAGTATTGCCCAGAACCCACACCTGCAGTTTGAGCGCTTCATAGTGGCTGCTGGGGAGAACATGCACCAGGTGGCCACAGGCTCCATGGATGTGGTGGTCTGCACCCTGGTGCTCTGCTCCGTGAAGAACCAGGAGCAGATCCTCCAGGAAGTGCGCCGAGTGCTGAGGCCGGTGAGTATGGGCTGAGAAGGGCTGCTTAGTAGCAACCACCATCACCAAGGGCAGTCCTCCCAATTTCACTAGATCAAACACCCTAACATAAAAGTAAAGCTACTAGAAAAAATACTGTTGAATTTTTTAAGAAAAAAATCTTAGAGTGCAGAAGAAGCTATGAAGGAAGAGATTGCTAATACATGAATAAAAAAAATTTTAGAACTCCTGCAGGGAAAAGGACTATAAATAAATTTGAAGTACAAAAATGTTTTGTAAAAAATATTTGCCAAGGATGATAATGAGTTAACTTCCTTCATAAAGGCATTACACATCAATAAGATCAACAGGATTCTTAAATAAATTACATTAAAAAGAGGAAAAAAAGCAAAGCACAGGAACAGAAATATAAATAAAAATAGCCAATATATGATTTAAATATCTAGTCTTGTAATTAAACAAATTAAAGCATGATATTTTATACTGGAATCTTTAAAATAAAACAAATGAATATAATAAAACAAACAAATTCATAGATATACAGAACAAACTAATGGTTACCAGCTGGAAGAAGAAAAAAAGGAGGAGCAAGAGTGGTATGGGATTAACAGATATAAACTAGTATGTATAAAATAAATAAGCAACAAGGATATATTCTACAGCACAGGAAAATATAGTCATTATTTTGTAATAACTTTAAATGGAGTATAAACTATAAAAATTTTGAATCACTTTATTGTACACCTGAAACTAATATTATAATCAACCATGCTGCTGCTGCTGCTAAGCTGCTTCAGTTGTGTCCGACTCTGTGTGACCCCATAGACAGCACAGCAGCTCACCAGGCTCCTCCATCCCTGGGATTCTCCAGGCAAGACTACTGGAGTGGGTTGCCATTTCCTCCTCCATAATCAACCATACTTCAATTAAAAAGAAATTAAAGCAAGACCCTTTTTATCTACTATTCTACAGAGACTTTTAAGTTCAATATGGTATTGGGGTGGGTCTGGGGGTCTGGACACCCAACTGGAAGAAGTGTCCTCTTCGGAGGACAATTTAATAATATCAAGTTTTCAAGTAATTTACATCTTCATCCAACAGGAATTTATCCCATAGCTATCCTGCAAAAATATGCAAAAACTCAAAAGATAAAAATATTCATTACAATATTTTAATATAATGAATTGGAAATAACATCCATCAATTGGAAGTTAAGTAAGTTGTCACATAGTATAAAACAAGAAATTTTTACCTATGTCAATGAAAAAAATCCTCAAAGAGATAGTGTTAATTTTAAAAGCAATGAAAACAGAATATTATGTAGAGTACTAATCCATTTGTGTGTGTGTGGGAGAATATACTTATATAAGTATTTATGTTAATGGGAATTATAAACACGTAATTATTAACAGTAGTTACCTATTGGGAAGGGAATTGGATGAGGGGAAATAATTTCTTTTCATTTTCTACCTCTCTGTATAGTTTGAAATTCTTTATACCTGTATGTAATTTTCACATATTACCTTTATTGTTTACTTAAAAACTAGTTTTAAATAGAAGCTTGGTGTACTGCAGTCCACGGGATCGCAAAGACACAACTGAGAAACTGAACAACAACAATTCTAAACGAAGCTGAACATACATAAAATATGAATATTTTAACATTTGAATTTACTCTTCTAGGGGAAAAAGATGGTCTGTAATCCCCAGTTTTATTTTCTCCCATCCAAATACTAACCAGGCCCAACCCTGCTTAGCTTCTGAGATCAGACGAGATGGCCATGTTTAGGGTAATACTGCCGTAGACCACAGTTTTATTTTCTAACAGAGGAAGCTCCTCAGAAAGAAAGGGACTTGAATATAGTGTTTAGAGGCAATAATATACAGTTGTCCCTCAGAGTCACTCCCTGCCCCCACCACAGATACCAAAAGCTATTCAAGCTCAAGTCCCTTACATAAAATGGTATCGAATCTGCATATGACCTATGCATATCCTCCCACATACCTTAAATCATCTCTAGATTACTTTTAATACCTAATACAAGATAAATGCTATATAAATAGTTGCCAGCATGTGGAAAATTCAAGTTTGGCCTTTTTTGAACTTTCTGGATTTTTTTCCCCAATATTTTTGATCTGTTGGTTGAATCCATGGATACAGAACCTGTGGATACAGAGGGCCGACTGTAATTCTGTGTTTGGCTCAAGAATAGGCCACCATCAAAACTGTAATGGAAAAAGGTCTGATTCTGACATTCAAATCCTGGGTTCTTCTGTCCCAAGACTGGGCAATAACTGGGCACATTTAAGAGACATTTTGCTTATGTGTTACTGATCTCACAATGCCTCTGCAAAGCAAATAATGATCACCTCAGGTTTAAGCACTGAGAATGCTCTTAGGGGATCGTAAGTCTTCCTTTAGCTCCTACAAAGCACCCACTCACTGCTGAATAGAACCAGAGGCTTTCCTGCATTCTCATTCACCCCATCACACAGTCCTTAACGCAGGGACTGTCTTCATGTTGGGTTGGGGAAACAGACCTAGAGAAGTTAAGAAACTTGCCCCACATTACACAGCCTGCTGCTGCTGCTGCTGCTGCTGCTAAGTTGCTTCAGTCGTGTCCGACTCTGTGCGACCCCATAGACGGCAGCCCACCAGGCTCCCCTGTCCCTGGGACTCTCCAGGCAAGAATACTGGAGTGAGTTGCCATTTCCCCCTCCAATGAATGAAAGTGAAAAGTGAAAGTGAAGTTGCTCAGTCGTGTCCGACTCGTAGAGACCCTATGGACTGCAGCCTACCAGGCTCCTCCGTCCATGGGATTTTCCAGGCAAGAGTACTGGAGTGGGGTGCCATTGCCTTCTCTGACACAGCCAGCAGATCTGACTTTAATGCATATATTCTTATCACTGCACCACAGTGCTTATCACTGGGGCTTTGTATTGCTCCAACTTCAACATTTCTACCACTTTTGCTGGCTAGTCTTCCTCTGCCCATCCCTTAAACACTGGAGTTTCTATTTTGGCTCTAATTTTGCTTATATACACCCCCTGGGTAATCTCATGTACTGCCAAAAATTTCAATTACCATGCACACAGATTTGGTTTCCAAATCTAAGTATCAAGCTCAGATCTCTCTTCTAATCCCAAATCTTCATGCCTAGTTGGCTACACAAGTCACCTGAAAGGGTAACAGGCTCTCTAGCCTAACCTGTGTAACCCGGAGGGCATCAGCAACCTCCTCAGACCTGGGTCTCCTCTTCTCTCCTGTCCTCTTCCATGGAAAAATTTTTTTCCATCAGGAAATTTCAAGTTTTCCATTTCTGAACACACGTCTCATACTTGCCCACAGAGGGGCAAGTAGAGGGAACTCCCTCTCTAATCTCTGCCTGGACAGCCAAGACTAGGGAAGCTAGAAGAGGCGAAGGAGAATGGGACAGTCATCATGGGTTTTGAAGGTACTCATTGGTCCCTTTCCTCCTTCTCCCCCCAGAGGTTAGGTTAAGTAGAAAACTTCTGAAGACTCGTTAATAATGTGTACCCTCTACTGTGTCCAGACTTGATCTATATTTACAGGACTGTCCTAGATGACACCAGCAGTTACTGCTATTTGACAGTTATTTACATACAGTATCCACTGATTGAAAAAAAAAATCAAATTACAAAATATTATCATGAATTCACTAACACTTTTAGATGGCTCAATAGCTTTGTCCTTTTTAAAAAAAATTATTTTTTAGATGAAAGATAACTGCTTTACAGAATTTTGTTTCCTGTCAAATTTCAACATGAATCAGCCATAGGTATACATATGTCCACTTTCTCTTGAACCTCCCTCCCCATCCCACCCCTCCACATTGATACAGAGCCCCTATTTGAGTTTCCTGAGACATACAGCAAATTCCCATTGCTTATCTATTTTATATATGGTAATGTAAGTTTCCGTATTACTCTCTCCATACATCTGACTCTCTCCTCCCCTCTCCCCATGTCCATAAATTTGCTCTCTATATCTGTTTCTCCATTGTTGCCCCGCAAATAAATTCTTCAGTACCATCTTTCTAGATTCTGTATATATGTGTTAATATATGGTATTTCTCTTTCTGACTTACTTCACTCTGTATAATAGGCTATAGGTTCATCCATCTCATTAGAACTCGCTCAAATGTATTACTTTTTATGGCTAAGTAATATTCCATTGTGTATACGTACCACAAGTTCTTTATCCATTCATGTGTTGATGGACATCTAGGTTGCTTCCACGTTCTAGCTATTGTAAATAGTGCTGCAATGAACAATGGGGTACATGTGTCTTTTTCAGTTTGGGTTTCCTCAAGGTATATGCCTAGGAGTGGGATTGCTGGGTCATATGGTGGTTTTATTCCTAGTTCTTTAAGGACTCTCCAAACTGTCTTCCATAGTGACTGTATCAACTTAAATTCCCACCAATAGTGCAAGAGGATTCCCTTTTCTCCACACCCTCTCCAGCATTTATTGTTTGTAGACTTTTTGATGATGACCATTCTGACTCATGTGAGGTGGTATCTCACTGTAGTTTTGATTTGCATTTTTCTAATGAGTGATGTTGAGCATCTTTTCACATGTTTGTTAGCCATCTGAATGTCTTCTTTGCAGAACTGTCTGTTTAGGTCTTTTTGCCACTTTTTGATTGGGTTGTTTGTTTTTCTCGTACTGAGTTGTATGAGCTGCTTGTATATTTTGGAAATTAACCCTTGTTTCGTTTGCTATTATTTTCTCCAATTTTGAGAGCTGTCTGTTCACCATGCTTATAGTTTCTTTGGTGTGCAAAAGTTTTTAAGTTTAACTAGGTCCCACTTGTTTACTTTTGTTTTTATTTCCATTACTCTAGGAGGTGGGTCATAGAGGATCTTGCTTTATGTCATCAAGTGTTCTGCCTATGTTTGCCTCTAAGTGTTTTACAGTTTCTGGTCTTACATTTAGGTCTTTAACCCATTTTGAGTTTATCTTTGTATATGGTGGTAGGAAGTGTCCTAATTTCATTCTTTTACACGCAACTGTCCAGTTTTCCTAGCACCACTTACTGAAGAGGCTGTCTTTGCCCCATGTGTATTCTTGCCTCTTTTGTCAAAAATAAGGTATCCACAGGTGCATGGGTTTATTTCTGGGTTTTCTATCTTGTTCCATTGGTCTGTATTTCTGTTTTTGTGCCAGTACCATACTGTCTTGATGTCTGTAGCTTTGCAGTATAATCTGAAGTCAGGAAGGTTGATTCCTCCAGCTCCATTCTTCTTTCTCAAGACTGCTTTGGCTATTCGGGGTCTTTTGTGTTTCCATATGAATTGTGAAATTTTTTGTTCTTCTGTGAAAAATGCCATTGGTAATTTGATAGGGATCACACATTGAATCTGTAGACTGCATTTGGTAGTACAGTCATTTTCACAATATGGATTCTTCCTTCCCAGGAACATAGAATATCTCTCCATCTGTTTATGTTGTCTTTGATTTCTTTCATCAGTGTCTTATAATTTTCTGTATACAGTTACTTTGTCTCCTTAGGTAGGTTTATTCCTATTTTATTCTTTTTGTTGCAATAGTGAATGGGATTGATTCCTTAATTTCTCTTTCTGACTTTTCATTGTTAGTATATAGGAATGCAAGTGACTTCTGTGTATTGATTTTGTACCCTGCAACTTTGCTAAATTCACTGATTAGCTCTAGTAATTTTCTGATAATATCTTTAGGGTTTTCTATGTATAGTATCATGTCATCTGCAAACAGAGAGCACTCTACTTTTCTGATCTGGATTCCCTTTATTTCTTTTTCTTCTCTTATTACTGTAACTAGGACTTCCAAAACTATGTTGAATAATGGTGGTGAGAATGGATACCCATGTCTTGTTTCTGATCTTTGGGGGAATGCTTTCAGTTTTTCACCATTGAGAATAATGTTTGCTGTGGGCTTATCATACATGGCCTTTACCATGTTGAGGTATGTTCCTTCCATGCCCATTTTTTAAACAGTTTAAATCATAAATGGGTGCTGAATTTTGTCAAAGGCTTTTTCTGCTTCTATTGAGATTATCATATGGCTTTTTTCTTTCAATGTTAATATGGTGTATCACATTGATTTGCATATACTGAAGAATCCTTGCATCCCTGGAGTAAACCCAACTTGATCATGGTGTATGAGTTTTTTAATGTATTGGTGAATTTTAAATGTATTGGTGAATTGCTAAAATTTTGTTGAGGATTTTTGCATCTATGTTCATCAGTGATACTGGCCTGTAGTTTTTTTGTGTGTTGTCTTTGTCTGGTTTTGGAATCACAGTGATGGTGGCCTTGTAGAATGAGTTTGGAAGTGTTCCTTCCTCTGCAATTTTTTGAAAGAATTTTAGAAGGATGGGTATTAGCTCTTCTCTAAATGTTTGACAGAATTCACCTGTGAAGCCATCTGGTCCTGGGTTTGTTTTCTGGGAGATTTTTGATCACAGTTTCGATTTCAGTGCTTGTAATTGGGTTGTTCATAATCTCTATTTCTTCTTGGTTCAGTCTTGGAAGATTGAACTTTTCTAAGAATTTGTCCATTTCTTCCAGGTTATCCATTTTATTGCCATATAGTTGCTCAGAAGTCTCTTATAATCCTTTGTATTTCTGCATTGTCTATTGTAACCTCTCCTTTTTCATTTATTTTGTTGATTTGATTCTTCTCTCTTTTTTCTTTGATGAGTCTGGTGAAAGGTTTGTCAATTTTGTTTATCTTCTCAAATACCTTATCTTTTATTTTTATTAATCTTTACTATTGTTTCTTTCATTTCTTTTTAATTTATTTTTACTCTGATCTTTATGACTTGTTTCCTTCTGCTAATTTTGGGGGTTTTTTGTTCTTCTTTTTCCAGTTGTTTTAGGTATAAAGTTAGGTTGTCTATTCTGTGTTTTTGTTTCTTGAGGTAGAACTATATTGCTATAAACTCCCCTCTTAGAACTGCTTTTGCTGCATCCCATAGGTTTTGAGTTGTGTTTTCATTGTCATTTGTTTCTAGAAAATTTTTAATTTCCCTTTTGATTTCTTCAGTAACCTGTTCATAACTTAGAAACATATTGTTTAATCTCACAGTGCAGCTTGTCACTTGTGTACATCTTGCAGGTGGACTTTCCTCCACCTCACGGACAGGGTCTCCAAGATGATGAGGCGGAGAATCCTCCAGGCTCACAGGAAATTTCACTTTACTCGCTTCTCCTGCTCAACGATCTCTCTGGTCAAAAGGATGTTCTTCTCCTGCGTCTCAGTCTTCTTCAGCTCGGCCTCATTGAAGCTGTTGATTTCCCATGTTGGGCTTGTCTGCCATGTTCTTAAAACAATCCGAGAAGTTCCACTTCAAGTCTCCTGTCCCAGTGCTCCCACCCGTGTCACTGCCAAGAGACCTAGTGTTTTTGTTTTGTTTTGTTTTAATTTCAACAAACCAAAAACTTGTGCTTTTATTTTTTCCCTATTTTTAAAAAATTAATTTGTATTAAAGTATAGCTGTTTTACAATGTTGCATTAGTCTCTACCGTGCAGCAAAGTGAATCCCTTCTGGACTTCCTTCCCATTCCGGTCACCACAGAGCGTTAAGTAGAGTTCCCTGTGCCATACAGTATGTTCTCATTTGTTAGAAGATTCATTTTTTAAAATTAATCCTATCACTTACATTCTGTGACAACGGTACAAAAGTACAAGACATGGTTATTTAGCCTCAGACAGTGGTTGGCATGGATTCAGACTCCCACAGGCTTGCAAAGCAGAGCCTAAGAACAATTTTCAGATGAATTTAAAGGTGTTTTTTTTTTTAATAAAAAGAGAAGTTTAAAAAATTGTCATTAAAAGGCAAACAACAAATAGGGGAAACATTTGCACTGTATGTAGTTTAATTATACTAAAAGCCCTTACTAATCAGTAAGAAAAAACCAACAGCCTATTAGAAAACTGATAACAGACATTAACAGACAAATCAGAAAAACAGAAATCCAAACAGCCAGTATTAGTAGTAAAAGTGTTAGTCACTCAGTTGTGTCGGACTCCTTACGACCCCATGGACTGTATACCCCACCAGGCTCCTCTGTCCATGGAATTCTCTGCAAAAATACTAGGGTGGGTTGCCATTCCTTTCTACAGGGGATCTTTCCAACCTATGACGTTTAGTAAAAGATGCTATGATTTAAAATACTAAAGATATGCATGTTATAAAAAATACCACAGTACACATCAAATAGATTTTTAAAAATATAGATGAGCATTTATTGAAAATGGGCACTCACATCTATTGCTGGCATGAATACAAACTGCTGCAACTCTTCCAAAGGGCAGTTTGACAACCAGGCTTCCGAGGTGGCTCAGTGGTAAAGAATCCACCTGCCAATGTAGGAGATGCAAGAGACATGGGTTCAGTCCCTGGGTTGGGAAGATCCCCTGGAGGAGGGCATGGCAACCCACTCCAGTATTCTCCTCTCCATGGAGAGAGGAGCCTGGTGGGCTACAATCCATGGGGTCGCAGAGTTGGAAGTGACTGAGGACGCAAGCACGCATGTGACAGGCATTAAGAATAGGCCCTTGAATGCTTTAAACTGCTTTAAATTTTAGCTATCATTATATATTACTTTTATGAACAGACAATATAGATTGGCAGCTCTGTATACAGTCTGACAGAAGATGACACTATTAACCACAATGGTATCATAGTAAGTTTGGATTTCTCCATGTGTTCTCGTGAAGTGGACCTCTGGGGTCACTGAACTCTGACATTTAAACATCTTATCAAATTGTTTGTCCCAAACTAAAATTCTTGGTGTGGTTTTCTTTCCCCGTTTTCTTTATCAGGGAGGAGTTTTTTATTTCATGGAGCATGTAGCAGATAAGCCTTCAACCTGGAATTACTTCTGGCAACAGGTCCTGGATCCCGTCTGGTACCTTCTGTTTGATGGATGCAACCTGACCAGAGAGAGCTGGAAGGCCCTGGAGCAGGCCCGCTTCTCCAAGCTGAAGCTGCAGCACTTACAGGCCCCTCTGTCCTGGGAGCTCGTGCGCCCTCACATCTACGGATATGCTGTGAAATAGTGGAAGCAGGGAGATGAGACCCAAAGGGTTCAAATAATTTAAGGTTTTGGCTTCATTAACTGGAAGATGGGAACTCCCTTTTTTGGGTAAATTTGAATTTCATCCCTAAAAGTTTATGTTATAACCTAGTTAGCCATTTTCTATCATCTCCCAAGAGTCAAAAACAAAACAACTTTGAACTCTCTCTTGAAAGAAACAGTGGGCTTCCATAATTAAATTCTACCATTATCCTCAGATCTTACTTTATCCCATAACTTCATAATTTTTCTTATTTAAATTATGACCCAACAGATTTTAATTTCACCCTTTCTATGAGAGGCTGATGCTAATAAGAATTAAATCACACAAAAGAAGATTTTGAAAAGGGAGATGGGAAAAGATCTTAATAATTCACAAACTGAATAAAGAAATACTAACTATTTGAAAAATCCAAACCTAAAAGCACAGTTTTTTTGTTTTTTGTTTTTTGTTTTAAAGGAATCTGAATCTACTTGCTGTTCTTAATATCAATGGGCTGGCTTTCAAAATTAATGTATCAGGATGCCACACCTGGTTCTGCCCAGCTCTGTTATGTTTTTTATTCCAGTATTCCACCAGAGTTCTCCTGCATTCCAGTCTTTAATTCTTACAAGAAAGATTGTACTTTAGTATGATACACTTTAGTATATCCATAAAACTACATGAAGCAGAGTTCTTGGGTTCATTTTGCCTATTATCTAGCATGTACTTGGCTGAATGTTTTAAACTGCAAGCAAAGAAAAGGCCCACTGTAATGAGGGAAACACTGAATGCTTGGGTATACTTTGTAAGAGTCCCCTCAAAATAGGCAACCTGTGAGTCTGTAAAGAGGTAGACAAATATTGTTTGGATTATTCTGATCAAATTTCTACTCTGGTCCCAAGATGATTTCTTTGTTCCTTGTAACCACAGAAACCTTGGAAAATAATCACAAGTGCATTGAAAACAAGTTGGTCAGTTAGAGGATTTAGAATTTTCAGCAATAGTTTGTATGCATTTTAATAAGTTTAGTATGTTTTCTGAGATGATTTTGCAAAAGCATTATTTTAAATATCAAATCAATAAATTCACATATATTTGAGGAATGAAAATAAAATGAATGATTTATATCTTTGCTGACTTACTTTCATTTTTCTTAGCATCTATGGGTGGGCTTTCCTTCATGGTGGAAAATTAAGCTATTTGAATGTACAGATTTTTCCTTCTACAGCCAGATAACTAAATACAGCTAGCAGACTTCAGAAAAAGCAAGTTGGGGACTTTCCTGGTTGTCCAATGGTTAAGATTTGCATTTGAAATGCCAGAGGATGCTGGTTCAGTCCCTGTCAGGAAACTAAGATCACATATGCCATGTAGCATGGCCAAAAAATAAAAATAAAAGGCAATTTTGGAAGGGTCTGAATGGGTTTTGAAAAGTTCAAGTCCAAAAACTCCATTTGTGAAATCCATAGAGCAGAAACAAAGGAAGTTTACTATTCTCTCTTGTGCATGAAAACACTTACCATTACGGTGAGGTTAGGACATGAGCCTGCAGTCTCCTGAACTATGGAATGTGAATATCCTCCCTCCAGGGTCTCCCAAAAGTAGGGGCGTCCTTATTTGCCCAACTTACTACTGGTAAGGTCAGTCTAGGGATTGAGAAATCTGAAAAACCACAGGTTGATCTGGTGAAGTATTATTGGCATGCTGGAAGGTGTGTAATACCAAAGTACAAAGTACTAGGCACATTCTTCTCAACTCCGTTTTGTTTAAATGGTGTAGCAACCACATTAACAAATTGAAAGATAAAAACCATATGATTATCTCAATAGATGCAGGAAAAGCCTTTGACAAAATTCAACATCCATTTATGATAAAAACTCTTCAGAAAGCAGGAATAGAAGGAACATACCTCAGCATAATAAAAGCTATATATGACAAACCCACAGCAAACATTATCCTCAATGGTGAAAAATTGAAAGCATTTCCCCTAAAATCAGGAACAAGACAAGGGTGCCCACTCTCACCACTACTATTCAACATAGTTTTGGAAGTTTTGGCCACAGCAATCTGAGCAGAAAAAGAAATAAAAGGAATCCAGATAGGAAAAGAAGTGAAACTCTCACTGTTTGCAGATGACATGATCCTCTACATAGAAAACCCTAAAGACTCTACCAAAAAATTACTAGAGCTAATCAATGAATATAGTAAAGTTGCAGGATATAAAATTAACACACAGAAATCCCTTGCATTCCTATACACTGAGAAAACAGAAAGAGAAATTAAGGAAACAATACCATTCACCATTGCAACAAAAAGAATAAAATACTTAGGAGTATATCTACCTAAAGAAACAAAAGACCTATACATAGAAAACTATAAAACACTGACGAAAGAAATCAAAGAGGACACAAATAGATGGAGAAATATACCGTGTTCATGGATTGGAAGAATCAATATTGTGAAAATGAGTATACTACCCAAAACAATCTATAGATTCAATGCAATCCCTATCAAGCTTCCAATGGTATTCTTCGCAGAACTAGGACAAATAATTTCACAATTTGTATGGAAATACAAAAAACCTCGAATAGCCAAAGCAGTCTTGAGAAAGAAGAATGGAACTGGAGGAATCAACCTGCCTGACTTCAGGCTCTACTACAAAGCCACAGCCATCAAGACAGTATGGTACTGGCACAAAGACAGAAATATAGATCAATGGAACAAAATAGAAAGCCCAGAGATAAATCTACGTACCTACAGACACCTTATCTTCGACAAAGGAGGCAAGAATATACAATGGAAAAAAGACAACCTCTTTAACAAGTGGTGCTGGGAAAACTAGTCAACCACTTGTAAAAGAATGAAACTAGAACACTTTCTAACACCATACACAAAAATAAACTCAAAACGGATTAAAGTTCTAAATGTAAGACCAGAAACTATAAAACTCCTAGAACAGAACATAGGCAAAACACTCTCTGACATAAATCACAGCAAGATCTTCTATGACCCACCTCCCAGAATATTGGAAATAAAAGCAAAAATAAACAAATGGGATCTAATGAAACTTAAAAGCTTTTGCACAACAAAGGAAACTATAAGCAAGGTGAAAAGACAGCCTTCAGAATGGGAGAAAATAATAGCAAATGAAGAAACAGACAAAGGATTAATCTCAAAAATATACAAGCAACTCCTGCAGCTCAACTCCAGAAAAATAAATGACCCAATCAAAAAATGGGCCAAAGAACTAAACAGACATTTCTCCAAAGAAGACATACAGATGGCTAACAAACACATGAAAAGATGCTCAACATCACTCAGTATCAGAGAAATGCAAATCAAAACCTCAGTGAGGTACCATTACACGCCAGTCAGGATGGCTGCTATCCAAAAGTCTACAAGCAATAAATGCTGGAGAGGGTGTGGAGAAAAGGGAACCCTCTTACACTGTTGGTGGGAATGCAAATTAGTACAGCCACTATGGAGAACAGTGTGGAGATTCCTTAAAACCTGGAAATAGAACTGCCATATGACCCAGCAATCCCACTCCTGGGCATACACACAGAGGAAACCAGATCTGAAAGAGACACGTGCACCCCAATGTTCATCACAGCACTGTTTATAATAGCCAGGACATGGAAGCAACCTAGATGCCCATCAGCAGACGAATGCATAAGAAAGCTATGGTACATATACACTATGGAATATTACTCAGCCATTAAAAAGAATTCATTTGAATCAGTTCTAATGAGATTGATGAAACTGAAGCCCATTATACAGAGTGAAGTAAGCCAGAAAGATAGACCAATACAGTATACTAACGCATATATATGGAATCTAGAAAGATGGCAATGATAACCCTATATGCAAAACAGAAAAAGAGACACAGACGTACAGAACAGACTTTTAGACTCTGTGGGAGAAGGTGAGGGTGGAATGTTCTGAGAGAACAGCATTGAAACAAGTATACTATCAAGGGTGAAACAGATCACCAGCCCAGGTTGGATGCATGAGACAAGTGCTCAGGGCTGGTGCACTGGGAAGACCCAGAGGGATGGGATGGAGAGGGAGGCAGGAGGGGGGATCGGGAAGGGGAACACATGTAAATCCATGGCTGATTCATGTCAATGTATGGCAAAAACCACTATAATATTGTAAAGTAATTAGCCTCCAACTAATAAAAATAAATGGAAAAAAATAAAAATTTTAAAAAATGGTGTAGCAAATATTATCCTTACTCTCTACAGGTGGGGAAAAATAAATAAGTGAAGTTTCTCACATTCCACGAGTTACTGAGCTAGTCTTAGAGCCCTAATTCCTAAAACCACAACACCTGTTTTGACAAGCATCACTGCTACACTACCTTTTCAGGCCCAGAAAACACACATTTATGATCATTCCAAGAACCTAAGGACATGACTTAAGCCTATGCAAATGGAAACAGAAAAGAGGCAAAAGATGTCAATGCTTTTTAGGTTCTGTGTTGGTTAGATTCCCTTGATTGCTGGTGACAGAACTCCCAATCCAAAAAGATTTAAGTAGAAAAAGAACTCTCACTCAAATTAGTGAAAGGTTTAGGAACAGAGAGCCTGAGGCACAGTCTGGGCAAGGCTCAGATAATGTAATCAGTGGTCAGACAGTGTCTAGGGTCACATCTGCCCTCCTCTCTCTTTCAGGTGGTAAAGTCTTTGGAAATAATGCTAGTCTTCATGCTTCCAAGATCCATGGCCAGTTGAAAAGATCAAGACAACTTTTTGGAAACACTCCAGAGTTCTACATTTGAGTCTCAATTGATTCTTCAATTGACAATACTAGGTCAGAAGTCCATCCCTGAGTCATTCATCTTATTTCAATGGGATGGGTCATGTTGATGAGCACAGCACTTCATCCCAAGGGCTGAGGACACCCAAACCTTGGGGACTGAGACAAGGAGAGTTGTGTATCCTCCACATGAAAGCAGAGCCTGTGATTAGGGAAAGCAGGAATGGATGGTGGGAAGG